AGTTGCCTCATTCATTTTTCTCATTGTTGCAATATGCGATAAAGCACAGCCATAGAAAGGGGAAGTGTTACCCAAACGAGTGGTAGTTTCTACTGATCCCCAATGTTTGTATCACATATTTTGTCGTCCTGTATGTGGGCGTGTATTTTTTAATAGTTCTAGAAAGCTGGGAGGTGGTAAACGAGCCAGCTGTAGGACAGTAAGTATTTGTGTAAGTGCAGGAGCTGTTGGCCTCCGTGAGCCGTCCAAATCCCAAAGCTTTTTCTGAAATGAAGACCCGTTGTTAGGAGTCTGAGCGTGGACACGAGTGGTTATATAAGACGTGGCCAGTTAGGAGGCAAGAAGGCAAATTTAACCCAGCACTTCCCAGTTCCCTCAGCGAACTTTAGTGTGTATCGGGTTTGGTTGGGAGGGTGCAGTATTTCCCTTTTTAAAGTTTTTTGTTAAAGGTTGAGTGTGACAGAGGCAAGAGGCAAGAGGGAGGAGCAAAGATCTCAGGAGAGGCCAGCAGCCTCTGCCTGTCTGGACACCTCGCTGGCCTGACTAGGTGTGCTGCGGAAGATAAGGCACCTTTCCCTTGGACCACACCTTTTGGGAAAAGTTCAGTGACTCATTCTGGTTCTTTATGAAACATTTCAAATACAGTGATTCATGGTTCATTCTTTGTTTTTCTGAGAATCATCTAAAAATGGGTATAAAATTTCCAGTCCTTACACAAATTACATCAAGGGAATTGTGGCCCAGATAAATTAACTTGCTGCTTGATCAGATCCATTTCTAAAGCTCCCAGGCCCGGCCCTTTGTTTGTCTTTGAAGTCTGGCAGGGGCTTTTTTTGTCGGGGGGCGGCGGGGAGGTCCGGCCTGCGCATACTTTGGTGCTTTAGGTGTATCGCTCTGACATGTGAGAAGCTCTAAAAGAGGCAAACACTATCCTTAAGACCATAGGATTTAAACCAAGGCGGTTATTGATAGACTCATGAGGTTGAATTTCAGTCGAGAATTACAATAGAAATATCAAAAAAAGACGCTGCCTTCTTTCAGTGGACCTTTTAAGTGGCTGTTTACTTAGTTAACGAGTAAAAATTAGTTTATGTGAGAATCTCATCTTTAGGGCAAGTTCAGGAGGATACCAGACCAGCCCCTGAACAATGTTCCAACATGATACTAGATTTATTGAACTATTAAATGTTCACCTGAAACAAATGTTGACCTAAGTTAAAAGCCTCCCGTTTGAGGGTTTCTGCTACCTTGCTGACGTGCATGACATCTGCTAAGGAGTTGATGAAATTGAGTTTCAGCTATGTAGTTCCTACTGTAGAGACCCAGAAAATTTAATCCTTTAATTTTTTTTTTTTTTCGAGTATTTCTATGCCAAAGGAATACCTTATTCTCTAAGCCAGGAAAATAATTGCACCTAATTCTGAGTTTATGAAACCAGGCTGTGTACAGATACTTCATACGGACCTGTAAATCCAGCCCCCCAACCAGCACCTCCACCCTCCCTGCCAGGCCCGCCCCTGCCTTTGTCTAAATAGTACACTTCCCCTGGTTCCAGGCCCTGCTGAGACCCCGCCCCTTCAGAAGTCCTGGCCTGAAAAAAAATACCTCACTTCTGGTAGTGAGGGTTGTTTGTACTGGGGAAGGCGTACTATTTGCCTCTCTGTTGGGCCATTCATTAGAAACCTATGTGTTAGGATTGTCTGTTTTACATATCCATTTACTCAAGAAATAGTGATTTGAGCACATGCTCATGCCAGATACCAGGCTACGAAGCTAAACAAATGGGACTTGCAGGTTAGTAGGAAGAAAGCAAGACCGGTCTCACCAGGTTGGGAGTTGGGAGCTGGGAGCGGGGAATGGCAGGGCCTGAACAGGGCAGCACACACACGTTATTGTCCTCGTTATCCCTTGTGTGTGAGCCCCTTGCACAATTCCTTGTGTTTAGTGGCTGCTCCATAAATATCTATTTGAGTTGAATTGAATTGCAGTGAGGACACATTAGAGAGCGAACAAGGCAGGGGAAGGGGCTGAGGGGGAGGGGAGGGGACTGGAGGAGGCTGCCCCTCTGCGGGGAGGGCTGGCCGGCAGGAGTGGCACTGGGGGTCCTGGGACACACCAGCCTTCTCGCGTGCCGGCCCCAGAGGCCTGAGCAACCGGTTCTGCCCAACTCCTGCACGCAAGGACTCGGTGAGGAGTGGGTCACTGGGGAAGAGCCACTCCTCAGCCCCAAGAGTTGGAGTTTCCCTCATTCAAAACAGAAACGGAAAAGAGCTAAACATCTGCCTCTTCTGTCATTGTTAGGGGCAGAGTGAAGGGAGTGAATACGTTTGTTTCAAGGTGGATTTTTTCTCAAATTTCTCAGATTTACAGTTGGCTAATTTAAGGAAGAAATCCTTGTTGGAAAGCTTTCCACTGCTTTGGGCGGGGAAAGCGGGGCTGAGGGTTAAATAAACACTTTACAGCAGTATGCCTTGATTGGTTTTGATTGAGATATTTCGAAACTCTCAAGTGTGGGTTGGAGTGTGTGCTTCAGTTCAGCGGCACTTGGTGTCCGGCTCTGCTTTCCCAGATCACAGATTCTCACTCACCAGTGAGGGACGATGGGAAAACAGATCCTCTGTACACTCTCTGGTCCCACGTTGTGCAAGGGTGGGGCATTCTGGTTACCTGAGTAAGAGGTAACCTATATTGTGGTCCTACTCGGTGCACCTGCACCCATCCACGATGTGGCCACAGCCCTGAACGTAAGCAGACGAGGCTTTCACGAGGCGGAGCTGGCGTCAGAGCCCGTGCCTGTAATGAACACAAACAGTGAGCGGCTGCCACGTGCCAGGCACTGGGCCGATGAAAAGACAGGGCCCCCGCCCGTCAGAACAGTGTAGGGGGAGAGCAGAGCGGGTGTCTCCTGAAGGCCTGCCACCTAAAATGAGTCCCCTTCCTTTACAAACAAACAGATCTAACAAGATTTAGTTTTATTTGCTTTTCCAGCCCACAGCCAATGAGCAGCAGTAAACAGAGGGTGTGTTGGGAGGGTTGGTAGCTGTAGACACAGAAATGACAGCAGCCTGAATGGAGGAGGAACACAGTGGGTGTGAGGCGGCCAGCCCAGCGAATCCCCGTACCACCTGTGGACACCGTTACCTAACACGCTCCAGTAACTGATGATGATTTAGTCTGGTGATGACTAAATCCTTCCGAAGAAATGGACAGCTATTGTCCTTAAGACAGGAACAGCTATATCTTTACTTTTGTTTTTAAGACTTCCATCTTAACCTGCGTGGTTAAAATGTGTTTCTGCTTAGGAACGAGCCACAGTCCCTGGGAAATTTATTTATGTGGAAGGGCCTATTCCTCAGGAAAACCACACATATGAAACATAACTCTGGTTTAGGAGAGCCATTGCCATATGTACAGTCAAGAATGAGCAAGTGTCAGGATAGAGGATAATCATCTACTCTGACTATAACCTGAGCATAATTTAATCACTAGAAGCATCTAAACAGGAACATTGCTCTGAGATATATTTTCAGTGATCCTCCGTTTCTGAAAACCACACCACTGGTGATCACTGAAGAGCAGTTTGATGGCGTACACAGGTTATGGTAAAATGACCGGTGGCTATGCTGCCGTAGATGTGGGTAGGGTGGTGTGAGCTGTAACTGACCCTCTCTGTCACACTGAGCTGTTCTGCAGGAAAAGCAGGAGCAGGGCTGGATCTCAGTTTTTTATCTGGTGTGTAACAACTTCCTAGAACCAGGGATCAGCATCCTTCTATAAAGGGCCAGAGAGTAAATACTTTAGGCTGGATAGTCGTATAAACTCCAGAACTACTCAACTCTGCCATTATAATGCCAAAGCAGACATAGATAATATGTCATTGATGGGATGGCTGTGGTCCGATAAAACTTTACTGGTTTAGAGCTGAAATAGTAATTGTGAGAACATAGGTGATATACATACACATCTATATGGCAACAGGTAAAACCAAGAGAATGGTTGCATCTGGAGGTTGTCAAAATGTTGAGCTTCAGTCAGGTTTAAATCATCATGGGATTTCATGGGATTTCAGCATTTCGTTTGGGTTGAACAGAGTTTAGAATTTTAGAATTTGCTGGGCACGGGTCAGGGTCCAGAGATATCCCTGGCCTGTGACTTCCTGTCCTGTTTGGTGCTTCAGAAGATATCCCTGCCTTTTTTAATGCCCCTGGGATATCAGTGGCAACACTAACTGCCACTGTCTTCTGGAGAGCACAAGATTGCTTCCTTAGAAAATCCTGGTCGATGGACTGTCAGGAGCCACCGCTTTTACTCTGCGTAGGAGTGTCATGACTTCTTGTTCACCAGTTCCCAACAGCATGTGATAGTCACTCTGAGTATTTGTTGAGTGATGCTTCTCTGGACAGGTACATGGTTCACATTTAACTACCTTTCAGTCATTAATTCTCTGCCACCCTGGGAATGGAGGGCCTGGCCTTATTCTTTCATTATTAGTGTGTACAACGTTTCACTCTATCAATTCGAGTAGTAGTTACTGCTCTGCCCTCGGTGTTCTGGACACATCCTTACTTTTCGTGACTACTCTCTCTCTGTTGGGGGTGAGGACAGTGGAGGAAGAGGGAAAATGGACAAAAAGAAATAACCCAACGCAGCCATTGCGAGCTCACCCTTGTGTGTAGAGCCGCGGTCTTCAGAAGAGCTCACATAGCCAGTGCTGCTTTTGAGTGATTTCCTCTGCCGTGAAGTGACTTGAGTTTTCAAAAGACTGAGATGTCACTTGCTGTGCTGCAGTCTGTGCTACGGGTGGCTTTCCCATGGCACGTACATCTGGTAGTAAACTTGAGCCATCATAGTTTCTAACTGAGAAACCCGGTCGGTGATGCAACAGGCCACCGAGTTTAAGAGAAAGAAACAGAGGAGGGACATTGCTGTATCTTGTAGCACGTGCTGGGGACAAATAGACTTTAGTTACTGATTCGTAGTTATTTCATTGCTGTCTCCAGAGACTCAAGCCGCAGTGTTAGGAAGAAAAGACGCATTGCCCAGCGCTTGTTTCTGAAGGAAGAGAGAGCGCGCGTGCACAGTCTGTGCTATGTGCAGGGCGCTGCCGGCCACAGCGTTCAGCACGAGCACCTCCCACCCCCTCCGCCCTCACGCCAACCCTGTGCGGAGGTGGCTGGGGCTGGCATGTGTTCTTCTCACAGGTGAGGAGACAAACACTCACGAAGCCCCACAGCCTGGTGGTGGGGAAACATCTATGGACTCGTGTCCAACGTTCCTACACTTTGCCCGGTCACCCCCAAGGGGAACAACTCACAGAGGCTCATATTCCCGGAACAGAAACCATTTTGGCCACAGGGCTGAAAGCCTGGCTTGTTTCAAGAACTAGCCGATCTGACCAACTGTTTTGCCTTTGTCACTAGCTAATGCAGGACAGTTAGAATGTCTTAGCCCTCTTCCCGCTTGCCGCCAGTGTTAATTTAACACGATGCCTAGGAATGCTACATTTTCTAGGATTTGACATTTTCAGCTATTGAGAATTACTATATTTCGTAAATGGAAATACCACTCCTAAAAACAGAATACTATACGTAGAATGATGCCATTTGTTTCCAAAACTATCGATATACTAAAGTGATGTGAAAATATTGGGGGTGAGGTCAGGACCGTAATTCGCAAGTTGTCTTGGGGTGAAGGCTGCAGCCACAAGCGCTGCTGGCGAGTATTCTTGGGGCGAACGGGAAAAGGGTTAATGGCTGCAGCTTACCGCGAGTCCTGCGTGGCCACCGCTTTCCTCCCACTCGTTCCTGTTAACCGCAGATGGCCTCAGCGTCGGTTTCTGGCTTGTCCGTGCTGTCACTGCTGAAGAGAGTGTCCCCAGTGGGCTTGGTGCTTCCCCCCGACCCCACCCCCATCTCTTAGGTCCCAATTTGAACATATCCGTTGAGACACTGTCTGCCCAGTAGATCTGTAAAAAACGAGACCTGGTTCTAGTCTGCTCCCGAGTCGGTGAGCTTTGCATGCTGCCGCTGCCCCGGCTGCCACTGGGTAGGGCATTTGCCCCGTGAAGGCTGTGGGCAAGGTGGCCCTAGTTCACAGAGGCTGTTAATGCTCAGAATAGGGAGGAGGGCTCCCATTTGAAATGAACAGAAGGTTTAGGCAGCTTTTCTGCGGGAGGGTCACACACAGGCACCTGGCTCACTTTGGAAAGGTAATTTTGTCAAGTCTCCTTGACGACAAGGTAACTCCTCTGGGTCTTTCTTGTCTTCCAGATGTCAGTATGGACAGAATAGCTTATGATGCTTACCCCCGCCCACCACTTCCGAGACATTGAGCGGAAGCCAGAATACCTCCAGCCGGAGAAGTGTGTCCCCCCTCCCTACCCTGGTCCTGCGGGAGCCATGTGGTTTATCCGCGACGGCTGCGGCATCGCTTGTGCCATTGTCACCTGGTTTCTGGTCCTCTATGCGGAGTTTGTGGTCCTCTTTGTCATGCTGATTCCATCCCGAGACTACGCGTACAGCATCGTCAATGGAATTCTGTTCAACCTGCTGGCCTTCTTGGCCCTGGCCTCCCACTGCCGGGCCATGCTGACGGACCCCGTGAGTATGTCTGGGCTCATTTTGACTAGCCCACACTCTCCCCTTCTGGTCCTGGCATGGCCGCAGCCTGCATGCTTCCCCTGACCTCAGGAATGTGGGCGACAGGAGGGCCAGGGCTGGGGTGGGAACGTGAACTTGGGCCCCGCTGAGGGGACACCGTCTGCCACAGCCCGTCTGTCTTGGGCGAATGGTACCATATGTATATTGGTGCGTACGTTAATGGACCTGCTGTGGGAGGGGTTTGGTCCAGGGGAGGCCTCACCTCAGCTAGAAAGGTACAGTCAGATGGCTGTGGAGCCTGGGCCAGGTGATAGAGTGGAAGACAGCTGGGGGTTGGGTGGAGACAGCCTCACAGCGAAGACAGGACTAGAGCTAGGTGGATTTGAAATTAAAGCCACATCCAGTTCCAAGAAGTAGCCCAGAAATGGCCTTCACTTTGGGTGAGGCTCATTTTTTTCTGAAAAGCTGGACAAACCTGTTGTAGGCCAGCAAGTGCCTCCCGGTGAATACCTATGGGTAAGGCGGTGGCGTCCTGCACCTTGACTTAGCTAAATATATCAAGCTGTGCAAGTGGCTCTTGAACATCATGTGCCCTGCTATTAGATCCTCTGTTCCTGTTCTTTATCTCGTGTGGGAAAGGCAAGAGTGTTATTTGATAAAGATCTCCTGTAGCTTGTTTCAATACGTGGGGTGTGTTTAAATGAAGGGAAAACATTCTAGTGGCGGTGGCACTGGCCATACGGATTTCAGTTCTGTGAGCCTCAGGTAAAGCTCAGAAAAGATACTGGGTTCTGAGCTAGTTCCTGTCTCAGGCTCCATTTCTTGCTGGTTCCGGCGGTGGATCGTTACTCCATCCCCAGGGAAAGCAGTTTCCCAGTTCAATTACATGTCAGCTGCTGGTCCAGACAGCGCCTCTTCTCATGCACGTGCCGGGCAAGTCACACACTGGCGGGCAGGTTGTAATCGGAAGTGTCCCAAATCACAAAGGTATAAAAGAGTTTCCCCATTAGCATCAACTCCGTCAGACTGGAAACAAGTTCAGGATTCATTCAGAAATGTTTATGATGCCCTTGCTACAGGGGATCCAGGAGTAAAAGATACTATTTTCCTCACCTTATAATTTAGTTTCTGTTAAGCCGCAGGCACTGTTCCTACCCACCAGGGTGCCCTCTGTCTAGAAGAGCAGATGGGTGAGGCTCGCCCTGTGTGATGAAGGCTGTAGCGGGAGGAAGCAGGGGTTGCTTGGTAGAACAAGGGAGGGGGGACGTTAGCCAAGCAGGGGTGGCTGCTTGGAGGAGGTGATGCCCAAGCCATTTCTCATCAGAGCAGTGTATATAATCAGGGGACGGGGAGGGCAGTAGGGCAGGAAGATACTGACTACGTTCCAGGCAGAGGGAGCAGCATGCGCCAAGACACAGGAATGCAGGCGTTTGGCTCCTCCTGGCACCCGGGAGTTTTTTGGAGTGGCGGGAACTTAGGAGGAGAACGGGTTCGGGTTGGTGGTGCTGGTGGGGATGCTGAGGGGCAGTCTGAGGCGCCTGAGGATGTTAGAAGAGTGAAGAGGTCAGATTGTCGTTTACAGACTGAGGTTTGCTCTGGCAATAGAGAGGAGGAGCCCTGGGGACACCGAGGACGGATGGGATACAATGAATGGCATGTTCGTTGAGTGAGAGCTTTACCACGTGAGAGGTTCCATTCTGAGCAATGGATACAGCTGTGAGCAAGGGGACCAAAATCCCCGCCCTCCTAAAGTTCACATCTTCACACCGGGGTCAGGCGGCAAGACAGACTGAACGAGGCAATTTCAGGAAGCAGTGAGTGCTGTAAAGACGATGAAACAGTGTGATGGGGTGATGTGGTGGTGACTTTTTCCGGGGCTGAGGGGGACACTTTACATCCAGGTGGTCTGAGAAGACCTCTCTGAGGCGGTGCGTTTGAGCTGAGACCCGAGTGACGTGAAGTTGCTAGTCAGGCAAATGAAAATCTGAGGGCAGAGCCTTCCGGGAAGAGGAGGGTGGAGGTTCGAAGGCCCCGGGGTGGGAGTGCTTGGCGTGTGTGAGAAACAGGGCTAAGACCAGGGTGACTGTAGCATGGTGAGTGGGGACGAGAGCAGCTAGCAGAGGTGGAGTGGACTGCAGAAGCCAGATCGTGCAGATCTGCAGGGCCTTGTGGACCAGCGAGAACTCTGGTCTGTATCTAAATGCAGTGGGAAGCTGTCAGAGGCATGATGCGACCTGCCTTGTGCCTGGGGTGGGAGTTCGAAGGATAGCAGATCAAAGCAGGAAGATGAGAGGTATTGCAGTGGTCCCAGCAAGACGTGTGGCTCGGATCAAGGTGGGAGCCGTGAAGCTGGAGAGAAGCTGTGGGATTTGGATATATTTTAAGCCACTATTTCTCAAGCCCGGCAGCACATTCGAGTCCCTTGGGGAGCTTTTAAGAAGTACTGATGCCTGGGCCCCACCCCCAGAGACTCTACTGTAATTGGTCTGGGGTGGGCCCCTGGGTATTGGGATGCTTTAGAGCTCCCAGGAGTCTCAGGTTCAGCCAGATCTGAGACCTTACGTTCAGCAGAGCTAATAGAATGGACAAGAATAGAGAGTGTACCTTCCAGACTCTTTTTGGCTCGTGCAGCTGGGAGATTGCTGATGCCATTTATTGAATGGTAGAGTTTGGGGAGAACAGATTTTGGAAAAGAAATCAAGGCTTTTGTTCTGGCCAAACTGTGTCTATACTGCATGTGAGCAGAGATGCTTGGTGGGCAATAGATAGCCAGGTCTGGGGCTGGTGGAGGTCAGGATCAGAGAGGGGAATGTGGAGGTCATTGGTTTCCAGAGCCATGTGAAGCAGGGAGCTGAATGTCCGGTGAGATGGGGGTGGGCAGGATTCCTCCTTGGCTGTCCTCACATGTGTGTACTCTTTTACCTCCACACTGACTCGTGTCACTTCAAGGGACCTGCTCAGTCTGGCCCCTTGCAGTTAGGTGCAGGTGAAAACGATCCTCAGTATGGTATGTTGCTCGGCTTCTAGTCCCGAACGGGTGAGAGCCATAGACTCTATCCCAAATGCCAGCCAGCTGGTTTTGCTGGTGGCCTCAAAGGAACCTGGGCAAAAAAAATGAAGCACCTGTCAAATATTGACCATTGTACGGGGAGGAACTCAAAGCATGTCCTGCAGACAGGCAGCATCTCAGGCTCTTCGGGCCACCACCTGCCTCTCCCCACTCCCACCCAGCCTGTGACATCTTATGCAAAACCTCGCTTGTAAACAGAGAGGGGGAACTGCAGCTGCTAGCCGCTGGGGCACCCTGGGCTGGGGCACCCTGGGCTTCCACGGAGCAAAGGTGGGAGCTCAGATCTCACACTAAAAGTAGATTAAGTAAGGGTTCCTTATTAACACCACAGGTGGGGGGCTGTTTTTAGAAAGGCGTCACTGCAGGGTTTTAAGTAGTTCCCTAATAGGATTATAGTTTTTTGTATCTCGAGAATGCATGTTGGGTATAACTTGTGGAAAAAGTTACATCTTAAGGTTATAAATAATGTATAACAATGTATACATAGTATATCATTTTGGTTTCTTAGTATTACAGGTTAGAAAAGAGTCTTACAGCCTCCCCCCAAAAGTTAATTACCACTTCCAGCTTTGAAATTCCTATTCCAAATATAACATCAGAACAATTGCAGCCACCAGAGCTTTCTGGACCATTTAGCAGTCATTTAGTCAATGGCTCACATAGTAAATGGGTCCACGTGGAGTTTGAGCGTAAAGGAGAAGTGGGAAATGACTCACGAATGCATAAGCAGCCCCCTCAGAGGCGAAGCTCCCGTTCGAGAAATGGGATACAAGGGAGAGGCCAGTAAAGAGAGGAAAGGGGGCGGGGGGCAGAGGGGCAGGGGTCTCCCTCGGCAGGCCGGCTGGCCTGGGCAGGTGCCCAAGTCAGGCTGGTGTTGATCTCAGGGTGCCCTCTACTTGCCCACTCTGAGGTTGTGGAATGTCATCAAAGGAGCTTTCTTGCTCCTGAAACACTTCAGACGTCTGGAGGTCGAGAGCGGCCCCCCTTGTCCCGAGGAGGTAGCCGCTTGGCGGCCTTCAGCAACCCTTGCGTGGCCCCCCTCTCTCTTTTCCCTCCCTCGCCCAGTTTCCCCACTTTTTCTTTTCCAGTTACAAATACATTTGAATTCCTCATCCTCTGAACTCCCGCAGGACTCCTGAGGGATTCCCTTTAAAATTTACATCTGGGACAATGTCTGTCTCCCAGAAGATGCTTAAAGCTGAGAGCCATGGTTATTTCTTTCTGTCCTGACTGCGGGGAAGCTCAAAGCCAAGAACTACGCAATCACGGCAGTAGGGTAAACCCTTCTGATCGGCATTTTTTTGCCCCTCCTTCCTTTGGACCTAATAATTTATTAACCTTGTTATAGATTATCTCAAATCTGAGATTTGAGAAAAGGAAGGATATAAATCAATTCAATTTAACCACATTTCTAAGGAAAAGAACATCCGTTTTTCCACTCCCGTTGGGTTCCACCCTGTCAACACTTTGCTGTAAACAGACTTCACGTGACTGTCCCAGACAGACCACTGCAGGCCGCTGATTAATTTACCAGAACTCAGCTGTGGAACTACTGGGGCTCGTTTCAATGTGCAGTTAGTATTCCCTTCTGAAGTCTCTCTCGGTGACCTTATTATGCACACGCTGTGTAAGAACAAGACGGCAAGTGTTTACTGGGGCCAGGAGCACGGCAGCACGATGTCAGGCCCACAGGAACACGGGAGGAACGGCGCTGCATGCTGGGTAATCGGTCAGGAGCAGGTGCAGCCCGAGAAGGGCCTCGCCCATCTTGCCCAAAGGTATTGCACATTCCCTGTGCAAGGTTGGGGCACTTGCCTCGGAGTTCGTTTGAGTAGGTGCTGCGTTCTTCCTCGTGCCAGGCACCTTTTCACACTTACCACTGAGCATCTTATAAATGACGACTGAAAAATCTTTCTGGCTCAGAGAGGAGAGGAGAGAGGAGAGTGACCTGTTGGGGGTTGCCTGCCTCCTACCTTTCTGTGGAGGAGACAGGTGGCCTTGTGACACAGGCCTGCAGCTGGTCATCGAGTTCTGGCAGAGCTGTGAGAGGGAGAGTTTCCGCCTAGACCAGGTGTGCACATGCCTTGATCCCCGTGGCCCCTGAAGCAATTTAAGCAAGTTTCATCCTTGGAGCTTGAAATGAATGATAAAGTTAGTCTTTGGAACTATTGATGTTTCTTTGGAACCTGTTTCAATTGCTTTGCATTGTCCCGTTATCTTAGGACAATAGGATAATATTGCCCTTCACATTGTCCTATTATCCTAGATACTTACTGAAACGGGCCTTATCATCCTAGGCTGTTTGAATTATGTGAGTGTGGTGGTACCGTTGTTATAGCATGGTATTGTAGCATCAAGGCACTAAAAAAGAAAGCCTCTTCAAGTCACTTAATAAAAGTATCTGATAAATATATAACTTGTCCTCTGATAGAGGCATGGGTCCTAGACGTGGACAGCCTGGGTCTGAAATCTGGTTCTGCCCCTTGTTAGCCATATGATCTAAGGCAGTTGCGTAATTTCTCTGCTTTAGTTACCTCATCTATAAAATGATGACTATTATAGTCTCTAAGTTTATTGTCATAATTAACTGGCAAAACACAGTAAAGCACTTGGAACTGTGCCTGGCATATAAGCACTCAATAAACGTCTGTTTATCACCATTATTATTCAGCTTGGATTTATTGAATACATGCTCCATGCCAGGCCCTGGGCAGTTCACTGGACTGCAGGATAAAAGGCATTCTTTCTGTCCTGCAGGACTTTATAGTCATGTAGGAGAGATCAAGTGTGTAATTAAGAGGCAGTTGTTACAAGACAAATCCGGGTTGTGGTAGCACAAAGGATAAGTGATGGGTTTCGACTTGGGAGTGGCGGGGCCACTGGGAAGAAGGCAGAGGAGGGGACCCTGGGCGGGTGTTGGTGTGGGTACAAGAGGCAAGGAGGTGCCTGGCAGGCTGGAGGGAGGTGCTAACGCAGGGTCCCTGAGGCCACAAGAGGTGGACTTGGAGAGCACATGCTTTTGTGAAACTTCTGGTAGTCCACAGGGCGCAGCTTTCAGGGGAGGGAGGTGACAATGGATCGGTGGTCCAGGGCTGGATTCTGGTAGCCTCGCGTGAGCCCTGCCCTGGAGCTTAGACTCTGGGCCAGGTGAAGCCTCTAGGGAGATGGCGAAGGCTTCTAGGCAAGGAGAATAACGTGATCACATTCACGTTTTAGAAAGATTACTCTGGAAAATAGTGGGAGGAAGGATGGAGGTGAAGCTGTAGGGAGCAGGGGAGAGGCTGGAGGCAGGAAGACCTAGGAGATTCTCTAGTATCTGGGGCACATGACAGTGGCACTGAACGGAGGCCATGACATGGAGGGGCGAGCACGGTTGGGGCCAAATTAACCCCGGGGAATAGGTGGGGTGTGGGGCGGAGGGTTAGGAAGGCTGGGGATGACTCCTGGATCTCTACCCCGGAGGACAGTGTAGATGGATGTGCCGAGGACCGGGGAAGGGAGAACAGGAGGAAGTTGGGGAAGAGATAATGAGTTCGGTTCTAGCTTGCTGAATTCGGTGGGTTGGTTTTATTTGGTTTTAATGCCTTTTGGACAACCAGGCAGAGTGATCTAGGATAATAGGTTCTAGAACAACCGTAGAGTTATCTACAGATCCGAAAGGGGCCTGAGTCGGAGCTGGTGATTGGCATCACCACCAAGTGGGAAGGTTTTTTTTTTGGGGGGGGCGGTGCAGAATGAGTAGGGAAGGGGGTTGGCGGTGGAACCCTGAGGAACACCAGTGTCCAGGATGGGGAGGTTTGCAGGAGAAGGGGAGAGGCCGAGATCCAGGGAGAGCAGAGCAGCCTTAGGAGAGGTGACAGGGAGGAGGGGCTGGTGGTCGTGGGACGGCCAGGGGAGACGAAGGAGAGCTGAGCCTCAGCCTCTGCATTTGGCCACAGGAGCTAGTTGCTCAGTGGCCTGGTGAGAGTGGTTCTCTGGTCCGGAGGCGACAGGTGCCAGAGAGCAGAGACCTAAAGAGTGAGTGGGAGGTGAACAGAGACAGCAAGTGCGCACGGCTTCAAGAAGCTTCACTGTGGAGGGCAGAGAGGGCTCGGAGTCTGCTAAGACCGCCAGGGAAAAGCTCTGAGGTGACAGTGTGGGGCCCCGAGGATTGCCTGGGGCCCTGGTCCTCCAAGACGGTGGATGCCTATGGGTCCAGGGACAGGGCAGGGAGATGAGGAATGTGAAGGGGCTTTGCCCTGGCTGCCTCAGCTTCTCTCGATGGAAGTGGATAGGGGTCGAGAAAGGCACTGGAAGTTTGGGCTAGCCCCCGCCTCCCCTAGATTTAAATGGATTGGAATTTAAATTATTCCCCTTTAGAGCCAAATAAATATTTTAGAGGCATATGATCCACAGATTTTTATGGACCTACAGATTTTTAAAAGTGTTTTAAGCTTACTACATGGATGGAGAAAAGACTGGAAAAATATACTTCAAAATGCTGGTAGTACTTATCTTTGAGTGATAGAATCAGAGGTGGGTTTTTCCCTTTTAATGTTCTCACCTGTATATTTTTTAAAGTCATGAACAAGTATTCCTTTGGAAATGAGGGGGAAAGTCAGTAAGTTTTGGCCCGCCAGGCTGCAGCACCAAGCTTTAAGGCCTGGCTGCGAGATGTAAAGGAGCAAGGTGGGGTGTCCCTCAGTAATAACGCCAGCGTGACAACACTGGCAAACGTCTCAGCGGGTCGTCCGGAATTGCACAGAACAAAATTCCTTACCATGAACAAATAACAGGAAGTTCCGAAATCTGCGGAAATAACCCCAGAAGGGCATTTTTTTTTTTAAAGGAGGAAAAGAAAGTTCGAGGCAGACTGGAAAGTGCCTGTGTCACCGACTCCTCAGCACAGACGCCTTGTGCTGGCCCAGCTGGTCTCTGGCGCTGAGGGGTGGGTTCATGGGGCAGATGGGGTCTTGCCAGGATGAGAGCGAGCCTTCCAGGGGACTCATGCAAATGGAGTCCCACTGGAGGAGTCGACTTTTCGAAAGGCTGAGCTGGTACCTCACGTCTTCAGTTGTGGTCTGGAATAGCAAATGGTACTGAAAATAACCAAACGAGAGCTCTGATTGCCGTGTGCAGTGTAGGACTGTCCTCCTGTAGCCCTTCGTGCGGGGCCTCCTGAGGTTTACAGCAGATTCCGGGGGCTGGGACCTTAAAAACTGGACATCTGGACATGAGAAGCGGGGGGACCCCAAGCTGGGCCTTCATTTAGGAAAACAGCCCCGTTGCTTCATCTCCCTGGGGAGATGGTCCTTAGTGCTTTCCCTCGTACGGGTGATCACAGTGACTTCCGGTTCTGTGGCTTCAGGATCTATGAAAGCTCACACAGTTGCCCAAACTCAGTTACTTTTTATGTCAGAGAGAATTAAAAATCAGTCCCTGTGGGCTTTCGTAGGACCCTGTCCTCTGTTTGGGCCAGTGTCCTTCCCGAGCCCCTTTCAGATCTGCTCACCTGGGTGGTCTGGGCCCTCACCCTGCTTCTGCGAATCAGAATTCCAGACCTTGACCCTTCACCACTGCCCCATGGGGAGGGAGAGTGGGGGCGGGGACCCTCCACCATCTCAGGGTGAGACAGTCATAGCATTTTAGTTACAAACTTCGGGAAAGTTGGTCGTATTTCTACTTTGGATAGCTCCTTCCTGAGGTATATATATATATTTTTTTGCTTATATAATTTTAATTTTTTTCTTATTGCAAAAGCAACATATTCATACTAGAACATTTAAATAGTCAAGAAAATAAAAATTACCCATGATTCTACTATGCGAGATTACCATTAATACTTTTGTATCTTTGTCTTTCTAGATATATAAAATCTTTACCAAAATGTGCTGACCTTCTGCATTGTTTTTGGAAATCTTTTCTTTTTGACAGTCTCATTAGTTTGCCATGTCAATAGCTGTGTACCTTTATGGCGCATTTTACGTCGAAGCTGTATCCCAAATGGCACTGTACATACCATGTAGCCCTTGCCTCCCAAAGTTCGTTTGCTTTTAAATTTTCTGTCTGGCACCTGACTGTATTTTGCAGACCAGATTTTTTTTCCTACTTCTTTTTTGAACTTTAAGAAAAGTTTTCCATGAACCACTTTAGACAGCTGGAAGGATGTGCAGGATGATAGGATAACCATCCATGTTTCACCCTTTGGCATTTCCTCAGGAAAATTCTTTGTCAATAACTATTCACTGGTGTCGGCACAATTCTGAATGCAGAGGCCAGGGTTGCTGGGATGGACATGTCCTGCCACCCCCATCCCATGTGTATAATTGCAATTTTCAAACGACTGTCCACTGTGGACTGTCAGAACCGATGGAGCCCCAGCCCAACCCTGACACCTTTCCTCCTTCTCACAGGGGGCAGTGCCCAAGGGAAATGCCACCAAGGAATTCATCGAGAGTTTACAGCTGAAGCCCGGGCAGGTGGTGTACAAGTGCCCCAAGTGCTGCAGCATCAAGCCCGACCGCGCCCACCACTGCAGGTACACACGCGCCCGCGCTCACCCCCACACACGGCGCCCCCAGGGCGCCTGCAGCAGCTGAGGCCGACTCTTCCCGCCCTGGGCGCCAGCGACCACCGCGAGCCTCCCTCCCAGTCCCCACAAGCCCACTGGATTGGAAAGAGCGTTTAGTTTGGGCTCAGCACACCTGTCTCACACCTGATGTAGCGCTGCCCGTGACTGCTTCCACCTCTGTTTCCAAATCCGTAATCCAGAAGGTTCCTGCTCTCCCTGCTTCACAGCGTGGTGACTTTAGTGAGAGCGCGGGAGACGCAGCTTGAGACAGTCGTCCTGCAAAGGTCTGGTACTTGACCCATGTAAGGGGCGGCTCCTAAACTGTGCAGGGTCGCCCTTGAATGAAAGCTTTTCTTTATGACAGAACTTCAGGGGATTGTGGCAGTGGTAGAATTCAGCCAGGAAAGCCTTTTCCCCATCACATCCGTGATGATTTTTCCCTTTTGGGTTTTAGATTTCTTTGAGGACAGCTAGCTAGAAATCACACTTTATCATTACAAGGGAACTTTTAAATGCTGAATTGCAGAAATACGAACATGCCCCTTGGTCCCTGTGTCAGACTGGTGTGTGCTCGTGGAGGAGTGAACTGGCTCCCGATGCTGGGAGGTCATCCTTGCCAGTCGGAGGCTGCGGAAACATTCGGGTCTCGTGAGAGGTCCGGGCGACTGAAAGGGTGCATTTCTGTGTGGGCCTCACCGCCCACCTCGGAGGAGAGCATCGGCCTCCAGCATGCAGACCCCACGGTCCGCGCCTGCTCTGTCCCAGGCACCTCCGCCCACCCTGTCTCATCGGTCATCTTGCCGTCCTCATGGTCCCTCTCAGAGACAGCTTTGCTACAGGAATGACTCCCTGGATGAGGACTTAAGGCTCACAGGGCTTAAGTGGTTCTTTTCTCTCTCCTCCCCGTGCCCTCACTCCTCCGCTGCCTGGCATCTTCCTCGCAGCCTCCCCCTCGCGATGGTCCGAGGGAGGTTTGCTTGAGGGCTAGTAAGCAAATCAGCTTGAGGAAAACAAGAGCTGCTGGCCCAGATGAACTGGAGCGAGGCCGCCTGTGCGTCGCCTGTCCCTCACTCAAAGAGTGTATGCTGACAACTGCTCCTTTGTGGCGGCTCGTGGTGGCCCACGCCATCTGGGGACCCACAGTTGTGGATAAGCAGAATTCCCAGAACGCCAAACAGAGCTGGGTTTATGACTGGTTGAGCCAAAGGCCTGCCGCCTGGTCAGAGGAAGTTGGTGTCGATCTTGCCAGCTGTTGGGTTCCTGTCCGCCCAGTAGAGGAACTGAAAACTCCCCATTTCTTGAGCTCTAGTGGGCACCACAGATACTCCGTGAACTTGGACCTGCAGGTGTCCTTTCCATCCCGGTGGTGTGTGGGTGGGTCTTCCGTCCAAGGAGAGGGACCATGGAAGCGTGTGGAAATTCTGCGGGGGGAGCCGTTTATAGTACCCTGGACCACCCAGGTGTTAGGCTTATGTGAGGTTCTTGCAGAAGGAGGTGGAGAGCCCTGGCCTTGGCAAAGCCTCACACCTGTCCTCACCGCTGGACACACACACACACTGGGGCTGAGACAGTCATGGACTGCTCAGGGCACCTCCAAATTCTTGTTTCATCTTTCTACTGGTAAAGTTTATGTAGCACTAGTACTGTTTTGAAAGAATTTTACATATATTATATCTAACCCTGAGTGCTATCAGGGCCAGTTCTGCAGAGGGTGATTTGGAGAAGCTAAGTTTCTTTACCCAGAGCCCAAAGTGGGGGGCCCGAGAGCAGTGTTCTCTCCACTGCACGGCCTCACCCCAAATACTTTCTGCGCGGGGGACAGCATGTGGTAGGTGCCTTTTCTTTGCTGATAACGGTAAGCGTAGTGGGTGAGGTGTGGGAGGGAAGCGCCACTCGGTACCTTCCTGCTGTGTCTTTCCCCGCTCCCTGCCGGGGCGTCTCAGTCTGGCGAGGTGGCGCCTTCGCTCGGCCGCCCTTGCTGAGCGGGGCCTTGGGCTTGGCCCTGTGCTGCAGCGGTGGGTTAGACATGGCCCTGACCTAGGCAGGGCAGGTGCACTCGTCCACCGCGGTATAGTTTGGTAAGTGCCGCCGTAGGGGAAGACACGGGGCCCTCGTGGACATGGCTGTGTTTCCACGGTGAAGCCATCACCCAGGTGGGCAGGAGGGCCTCAGCCAGCTCTTTGGGGCTGAGCACCAAGGAGGGGCCCTCGGACCCCCCGCAGAGGGAACACAGTGTAACAGAACCTGAACGCATGTGAGCCAGTGAGACTACTGGGCTCTCCCAAGCTTTTGAAGGAAATGCTTTAGGGCCTGAAAAATGATAGGGAACCTGGAGGAAGACAGTCGGAGAAGCATCTTCCCTCTTCTGAAGCAGTGATTTAACAACGTAGGGGGGGCCTGGGAAACCCTGAGAGCGAGGCCGCCAAAAATACCTCTGTTTGTTTCGGATGTTCGGTCTGCTGCACGCATGGGACTCGCTGCCAGGCACTCAGGGCCTGTGCGGGGGCCTCCTCAGCCCCCGGCACCCCGCACACGAGACGTGGCATCGTGCCGGAGAGCAGTGCGAGGGGAGGGCTGGTGGACGTGGCTAGGAAGGAGCAAGCGAGGGGGGCCTCGGAGAAGGTGGTGGGTTTCGCCAGGAGGCGAGGGTGGGGGAAGGGCCCTCTGGGAGGGGATGCCGCTGAGCCCCCTGGCCACCATGCCATGGCGGCTAGGGAGAGGGCTGGCTCTGAGGTGACCGACTCCCTAGTGGGGTGTCAGAGGTCGTGGGAAGCCCACATTCTTTCTTCCTCATGACAGATGGTGTCAGAGGTGGAACAGCCTGCTGCGGGCAGTCAGCACCCTGGGCCTGGAGTGTCCTTCACGGACCTGCTCAAGGACCCACCTTCAGGCCTTGGCCTTGGTACTCTCCAGGGCCCAGCCCCAGTGCCATTCAGGCTGGGTGTTTTGTGAGTCATGGGTGAGTTGGCCTCGGGCAGTCCCTCTAGCCACCAGCATAGATGGACAGACGGACACACACACACACACACACACACACACACGCGCGCGCCACCACATGTGCCACCACCTGGCCCAGGACCACACACACACACACACACACACACACACACACACACACGCCACCACATGTGCCACCACCTGGCCCAGGAGCCTGCTTCTGAACAACTCCGTAAGCCAGAGGGAGAGGTGCCGTCTTGCAAACAGGAAACAGACTCACTTTCCCTGCGCCCTGAAGGACGAGTAGTTTTCTCACCTGGCTGCCCAGCGAAGCTTAGCCCCTTGTGCAACCCAGCTTCCCGGCTTCCTGGCTTCCCGCCTGGCTCCTCAGGCTGGGAGGACAACAAAGGCGGGTCTGCCAAGAGGGCTCGTGTCTACTCTTGGGCAGCTTTCAGAGTATGCCAGGCCACGGGGCACCTCTGCTGAGCAAACGCTGCCCCCGAGTGCCCACTCGAATCCTCTTTTAGAAATAAGTGTGGACGGAAGAGAAACTGCTCAAGAGCCTGCTGCGGGGAGGGGTCGCCCCCAGGGGTTTGTTCCGGAGATGGGGAGGGGGCTGAGAACCCCGAGCTGATTGTCTCAGACCTTTCATGCAAGAGATGGGCCCTGGCGGTCGGAGGGACTCTGTGGAGGGACGAGGGGCCTGGCGGCTGTTCTTTTGTTTCATATCAGTACTTCGTTTTGTCCAGAAAGGGGTAGAGAGGGTGTTTGCTATGAATTAAGCTTGAAACTGTCCAAAAATGATCCCAATAGCAAGTTAGTCATTTGCAAATTAACTAGATCATCTGATCAACACGTAAGCTTGAATGACTTTCCTGCTGTTTTTGGCTAAGCGGCCATTATGTTAGAGCTGAAAGGCGCTTGGAGGCGGGTTTCTTGCCACCCTGAGACGTTCTGCACTTGACCTAGCTCTGAATTCTTCTAGCTCGCCCCTCCTGCCCGGAAGCTTCTGCTGAGAAGCTCCACGCAGCCCTCAGTTTTGGGTCTTCTGGGGAGACTGGGAGCAGCTGTTTTCCGTCCCATCTCATCCTGTCCGGCTTTCGAAACCGCGTCTTCATTCTGTCCTCTCAGTAAACCGAACTCTCAGCCCGGTCTCCCCTCGGGAGAGCGGCTTTCCAGGCCCCGTCAGTGCCACCCAGTTTCTACGGTAAACAAGGCCGGAGGCCTTGGCCGTGCGGGACTGTCCCCCGGGCTGCAATCACCGATTCTGCGGGACCTAGCGCTGCCTCCCGAGCCCCTCTCCACACACGCGCAGCAGAACCCCAGCTCGCGAGGACAGCCCTAAACGTCTGCCTTTGGGCTTTTTCAGTGTTTGTAAGCGGTGCATTCGGAAGATGGACCACCACTGTCCCTGGGTCAATAACTGCGTGGGCGAGAACAACCAGAAGTACTTCGTCCTGTTTACAGTAAGTCAGCTCGCGAATCCCGCCCCGCCTCCCCGAAGCAGCGAGCGCTTTGTTCCCCCAAATCTCAGCACTCACAACGTTCTCCGCTGCCGTTCAGAACACTGCCTGGCCATGCAGGCCTTCGCCTTTCTGCCAAGCGCTCCTTGGCCCGACAAGGGCCTGTCTGTTCCCAAGCCCTTCGTTGGAGCATCTAGAAAAATGACTCAAGTCGATTAGCTATGAGCAAGGGCCATGTTCTTGGCTCCCATTTCCAATGTCTGTTCTAAGCAGCTAAAGGAGGCAGTTTTGGTGATGACTGCAGGCTGCCCTCAGCTGCAGGTAGGTGGGGGGTGCACTTAGTGTGAAGGCTGGAGGGGCTGTTGGCAGCCAGCGCCCTGACTCTCGGGTGAGGAGAAGCAGCTGGCCTGGAGCACTGTGGGGCGGCCCAGCCCACCCGGAGCTCAGGTCATGCCTGGTGATGGCCACTTGTTTCTGTTGCTGTCCCACACGCTCGCAGTGAACAGCTGCTCACTCAGGCCCAAGGCTGGGGGTGGGGGACCGGTGAGAGAGTCTCCAGATGCCTCTGTGTCCTCCTCCTAAGCAAGCATTCCCAAGCGGGGAGCTCTGAGCACCCCTGTGCTGGGAGCCTGGAGGTGGAGAGTTCTCACAACAATGGCGTCTGCATTGCCTTCCTGTTTCAGATGTATATAGCTCTCATTTCCTTGCACGCCCTCATCATGGTGGGATTCCACTTCCTGCGTTGCTTTGAAGAAGATTGGACAAGTGAGTATGGGCCGCCTTTTCCTGCCTGCTCCAGGGGTGGGACGTGACCCCAGTAGGGGGCTGGTTCTTTGTTTCTGTCTGGTGCCAGGGGACAACCTCGTTTTATCAGATCTCCTGCAAGCCTATGGACTGATCAGGGAAGGAGGAGCAGAGGCCCGAATCTCCCTTCATGAAAAAAAGCAGCCCCTTAAAATCAGTTCCGCAGGTAAAGTCGTGAGGTGGACAGAGGCTATGGCCTGAGCTAAGCCCAGGGCTGATGCAGGGCCCAGCCAGGGGGTGTGTCCAGGAGTGGGAGGCCTGCCCACAGAGAACCTTTGTTTCTCTGACTTGAAGCAAAGCACTTTATTCAAAGGTCATTTTATTCCAATCTTGCAGAAATCCATTTTTAACTTTCTGGCTAGGATGCGGAGGTTTTCTATTAATTTGTTTGGTTTTTGTGGTGGTGATTTTTTAACTGCTCAGTCACCAGTTTACATCAAGATTATAGACAGAGCCTTCCTGCTTTAGGAAGTATCCCATTTAAATGTGAAATGCTGAAGAAGGAACTCCAGCCAGAAGATTGTGCAAATTCTGAGGGAAAAACTAGATGCTGGAAAAACAAATAAGTAAAATGTTAGAGAAGAATAAAAATGAGAAATGAGAAAAACAGTTTAGCTGCTGCAGGAATTACGAGCGGCCACCTGCCGGGCTAGCCCTTTCACACCTGCCGCCTGTGGGACAGGTGGCCTGAGCGGAAACATCCCATGTCTCCTTTTTCCCTTGACGGGACCCTTTTCCGTTGGACTGTCTTTTAGAAATTTTGCTCTTCCTGTACACACCGACTTCTTGGGCATGTTCTTGCTCTTTTATCCCCCAGAACTCATGAGGCTGTGACAAGGACAGTGTCTTTAGCTCCCGCCTGGCTAGGAAGAATCTTTCCCTGTCTCTGTTCATAGTTTGCGCCTGACCCCCGCTGTCGGGCCAGACCGCACCTAGGAGCAGAGAACCCCACATGTGGCCGTCAGCTTGGCTGCCATAGCAGCACCACAGACTGGGTGGCTCGAACGTTTGTTTCTCATCGTCCTGGAGACTGGGGAGTCCCGAGCAGGGTGCCGGCAGCTTCCGTTCCTGGCGCAGGCTCTCTTCTGGTTTTGCAGATGGCCACCTCCTCCTTGTCCTCACATGGCAGAGAGAGAAAAGCAAGCTCTCTGGTTTCTGTTCTGATAAGGGCACTAGTGCCATCATGACCTCATCTAACCCTCATCTCCCCTCTGGGAGATACCATCACATTGGGGGGCAGTTGGGGCTTCACCGAGTGAACTGGGCGGGGGAGGTCAAGCTAGCGGACAGTGCAGAGGAGTCGGGGTGACGAGCGGGCTCCCGCGGCCCGCACCGTTCTCTGGGGCTGGGCCGGCCACCAGCGTGTTCCCCGTAAACATTCTGACAGTACACGCATCCCGCTAGGCCGGGGGTCCAGCTCAACTCCCGATGTGGCCTTGGCAACTTGATAGTAGAGTCTGACAAAGACAACTTATCACAAATGCTGCCCACCCGTCACCAGGTTAACAGACACAGGCAGCGATGAGAGTAACACAGACCGTCAACGAGGCAGTGTCTGTGTTTGGAGTGGAGCTGACAGGGGCCATTTTCTTAATGCCCACGAAAGCCAGGCGTGGCCCACCGAGCTTGCTGAGCAGTGGCTGATTTCGACCTTGTAACAAGCCAGCAGGGTAGGAGAGATGCTCCCCACAGTGCAGATGACAAAAGTCGGGGGCTCACGGGGGTTGAGCAGGTTCCTGAGCTCACACAGCTAAGAGGGCCTGCGAGCCCAGCCCGAGTCTGGAGCGGAGATTTCCAGCCTGTCTGGACGATTCCAATACTCAGCTCTTCCCTGCACGTTCTTGATTGTCTTCAGCACAATTCCTGATGGCGGAGGCTTGAGACACCCAGTTCCTGTGGAAGCTAGCATGGGAGGGTGCAGGACAGTCTCCAAGGTGAAGGCCTGAGAGTTGGCCGTGTGTGGCAGCAACTGCCATTACAGTTCAGCCCCAGATGAGCTGCTGGGCCATCCAGCTTGCGTACGAAGGGGCGGGGGGCTGTCTCCCCCGTGAGGGCACTTAGAGTTGATATTAAAAGAAGTGTAGGGCGGTGGTTCCACATGCCCCGGATCTGGTTCCTGCCCCCTCGAACTCCATTCGTAGCTCCAGGGGCCAGCCCCAGAGGGGGAGGACGCTTGCAAGTGTGCACAGTGTGCACAGATAGGGGACAGGCCACAGCACGGGGCTCTGCCCCCAGCGCCGGGCCCAGGGCAGCTCGGGGGCCGGGGTAAGGAGGGAGGAAGGCACCTCCATCTGATGAGCAACCAGAGCAGGGGGCTCTGCCCCCAGCGCCAGGCCCAGGGCAGCTCGGGGGCCGGGGTAAGGAGGGAGCAAGGCACCTCCATCTGATGAGCAACCCCCGTCCTGGGCTGAGGCCAAGCTGTGCCAAGGCGCTCGCGTTTTTTCAGTTATTTGGTTGTACAGAGGGCACACCACAGCCCGCAGCCCCGACCTCTTACCCACATTGCTTGTCGTCAGCAGCGCTCCGCGGCTGGTTGTGTAGCAGGAGCCAAAGTCTCTGCCATTCTGGAGCTGGAGGTGTAGTGGGAGAGGCAGATGGCAAGCAAACACAGAAACAGGGGATGCCACAGTGAATGGGACAGAGTCTTAGAGGGGGCATCTTAGTGAGAGCTTGTGACAGGAGTTGGTGCCGGGATCCACACCCCGCCATGTCTGCTCGACTTGGAGCCCACACCCTTCCTACCTCCCCGTTCGGCCCCAAGGCCAGGCAGGCAGCTGCCAGACCTGTGGCTACCCAGCCAAGCCCTGACCAGCAAGGACCTAAGGTGGTAAACCATCGGAGGCGTCGTTAAGTTCCAAGGGACATGTGAGGGGATACGGGCATTTAGATGAGACAACCTGTGCCCTACCCCAGATTTGGGAGCTGAGTTCCAAGCTTGGTCCCAGACGACCTCCTGTGGCCCTCCTGACATTCCTGTGATGAGCCAGCAGGGAGGCTCCGACAGGGAACTTAACCCCTGAATTCCCAAAGCCCAGTGAGGCCCGACTGCCCTCTCCGCCAGGGAGGCCGGTTGAGTCCCGGAGCAGCCGGAGCTGCGAGGTACATGCGCAGCCCAGGCTTGACAGGCACGGGCGGGTGTCAGCGAGGGCAAGACCCCACGGGCCTGCACTGTGGTACCACTGCCATCAGCAGGGCCCCCACCGCCCTGTGTGGGCCATATTCCCCCAGGAGGTTCCCGAGACACTGCCGTGATAGCAGAGAGCCAGAGAAGGGGCTTCCCCCTGCTCACCCCACCATCTCCCCCAGCACGTCTGCTTTTCTTATCGGTGGGTTGGGTTTCTGATTTGGACTTTGTTCAAAGGATTCCACTGCTTCAAACAAAACCACGCATGTAGTCAACCTCGCTGCTCTGCAGTGGAGCCACTAGAGGCCTAGAGAGGGACAAGGACTTGCCTTGGGTCACACCCCAGGTCAGTGTGAGCTTGTAGGGGGGCAAGGAGAGTGAAAGCTCCTGCTCCGGGCCGGGCGGTGACTCCGCACTCAGGGACTGACAATCTCAGTGACTCGGGGGCTCCCGTGGGCCTCACCTCCCACCTGGGTCAGGGCCCAGCCCTGCAGTCAGACTGCCCCTGGCGAGCTTCAAATCCAAAAGCCACTGAGTGATCCTAGGTCCTGTCTTCGCCTCTCACCCCTGAACAGATACAGGTGCAGAGGGTGGCAGTGCCCGGTACAGAAATACCTGGAAAACTCACGGCCGGGACTGGACTGAGGCCCCTCCACCTGGGCCACCTGCAGTGTGCGCGCTGAGGAGGAGAGGGTCTCCTGCGGTGGGGTCAGGCCTTCATGCCTCGGCTCCGGGTCTTTCCGTGTGCCAGGCATCGTGCTTGGCACT